TGTCTGTACGCATCCTCAGAACAAAATTGTAGGGGTCATAGCTTTAATTATGCCACTTACGTAACATGCCTTCGAAGTACTTCAAACTGATTGGAATTGAGAGACATACCTTCTCCTTGGGGAGATGTGGCCATATCTCGGATTGCGTTCCGCATTTTCCAAATTTCTCGCTCGGGAACTTTATCAATGTTAAACGTCCACTAAATCGTTTTAACATTATTCCCCGGCGGGACAGAAGGATTCTTTTAATTTCTTTTACATTAGTAAGTCGGCCCGCAATAACCATTTGTTGATTCCTCGAGTTACATGCTCTTTAGCTAAGTATAGTGTAGTTGGTGAGAGTAGTAAGAACTTGTAAGGCCCTGCTTACGGAGTTACAAGAGTTCACATGCTCTTGTCTCACCAAACTTTCAATTTTTCGAGCTGATAATGTTATAAGATTAGCTAGTTGGTTAGTATTCGAATGAAAGTGTGGGTGTGCTATGTTTCATTTCCTTTCCTATTAGCCTAGTTACCTCGTTTCTTTTTCTTTTCACTTGAATTGTTTAAGAACGTTTTATGTCATTATACAGTGTTATTGCACCTATGGTACACATTGTAATCAAAGCCTTAACGGCTTGGAGGTTACATAAGCGTCAATAAAATGAATAAATGAAGTAGAAGTGCATTGTCTCAGTTAAGGATTAACACAGTTGTCTAAATTGAAAAGAAAAAAGTAAGAGTGCTATAGCCGATCAAGGGCGCTACAACACTTTGCCTCATACAGTCATTAACTCATTTTCTTAACAATAAACCAAATATCGATTTTCGTGAATGCCCCTATGTTGGAGGATACTCGAACATCAAAGGGGCCTCATATTAGCATTCTACTTGTCAAAGACTTTATTGGGAAACTACAACTTAGACCTTGTCGCCACAGAATGGTTTGCTTGCAAGGCTCCAAAGCCGCATAAAAAATGTTTTCGAGCGAAACTAAATTATAGTCTGCACATCGCTGGAAAGGCTAGTGATCAAGAATTCACGCAATGCGAGTTTCATTTTTTCGAAGGACTTGATTTTTGTGGCAGTGGCTAAGCAAACTTTTGCTTTTCCAATCTCACGTTTTGCGCCGTACAAAAATTTTTTCATACCAAATTTCAACTAATTAAAATAAAGACATATTTTGCTTATAATATTATGGAAAAGTTTTATTTCAACTGTATTTTGATTTAAATCCTGCCGGGACTCTTTTAAAATTTTTAGTTCGTATCTTCGCTAGATATAGTTAAGTACAACTTCACACTTTTGATTTGCTGTAAAGAATCGAATTTCTTCATGCTGAGAACTTGCGATACCATTCCCATATCACGCCCACTTTTTGTCGCAATTGATAAAGTCAGAGCCTGTACCAATGTCGCCAGCTTCATCATCGATTTAAATGGTTCACCTATTCTGAATTGCAGATGGACTGAATTGCAATTGAGCTTTGGTTAATACAACGCATCCGCTATTCATCACCCGTAAGATCGTAGGAGCAGTGCACTTCAATTTAAGCAGGAAAAGTAAAGCTTTCTTGACTCGGGACTACGCATATTCAATACTCCGAGAATCTATGTCACTTTGGTGTGATAGTTTATACATTTAACCTTAAGTTTCTTCAAATGGACATGTCACAGTATTACTTGATCTCTCTGCCTCTCCCTCTCTCTCTCTCTCTCTCTCTCTCTCTCTCTCTCTCTCTCTCTCTCTCTCTCTCTC